ATTGGGGAGAAAATATTGCAACAACTGATGCCGACTCTACAGCAGCTGCGTTGAGAGAAATTTTGGCAGGGCAAGGGTCTGCCGTGCTTTATGTATGTCTAGAAAAGTCTAAACTACAGCTATTCATTTATTGTCATTTCAAAAAATCTTTTCATCCTTCTTTTTTAATAGATGGCTCATGGTGGAACGAATTTTGGATTTTATAATGGAGCAAATACAGGTGATAGTGCGTTGGATTACAAGCCTGATCTTACTTCTTATGATTATGTAAGTAAGAATGATCTTAATTTTCCTGTACTTTTTCCTTTTACTCATCTGCGTAGTTATGAATTGTAAATATTAATTCACGCCTGATATTTTCCAGGATGCCCCAATTAAGGAATCAGGCGACATTGACAACGCTAAATATGATGGTCATTTTCTCCAATGCCTCCATTTCTTTAATTTTTTTCTTTACATTTTTTTGAATGAATGAGAACTTCGTCCCCTTGTCAGGTCAAAGTGAGCACAATGGTAATTGACATGCATTCATTTTTTTAAGGTTGGAGATTCAAATCTCCATACCTAACATTTGTTGTACTAAAAAAAGAAAAACAAAAAAACTAAGGGTAAGTAGTTGCTCCTGCTGACCCCAATCCATTTCAATTAAATGATAGGGTTCATAAACTATCTTTCAAATTGTTCTTTGCCTGTTACTTGACGTCATTCACATATAATTTTGTTTCATTTCTAGGAAGTCGTCCCTGTTTTTAGTTAGATTTAGTTGAGTGAGGAGTGGGCTTGGCGTAGTCAGGAAAAAACTCTTGTGAAAAGGTATCATTGAAAAGTCTCTAAAAGATGTAACATGAAGTGGCAATGATAAATAAATAAATAAACCATAATTTTGTAAATGAATACAAGCACTTTCATCAGCAAACTTAGGCTCTATCAAATTTCTAATTTCCACTGTTTTAATGCCTTTAGCAATTCGAAGGGTTATACAGCGCTATAGTGGAGCATTGCTTCCTTCAGCTCCTTCTAATATTGAAAAGATAGGTTATGGACCGATTCACTTGCAGAAAAGTGCATTTTTGTTTGATCTGATCCATATGATAGATCCTGTTGATGTGTTTATATCTGAAGAACCACTGTCAATGGAATCTGTGGATCAGGTGCGTTTGAATATGCCACTCCTGTCTTGAATGAGCCAAGGTTGTTGAAATACTTAATTCTTAGAAGCTAAATGTTTTTTGTTCAGAGCTTTGGATTTTTATTATATGCGACCAAATATGTGGCCAAGGACAATGAAGATGGACACGTTTTATTTATACCAAAGGTGCAGAATTATTGAATCATTTATGTTTTGTTTTGATTTGTATAGAAACAATGTTCTTTGTTCAGGTCCTGATTCCCTTCTTGATTCAGTATTTTGAAATTCATGAATGATCTGTGGCTTGTACTAGCATGACTTAGCTACAGGAATTTGCAGGTGCATGATCGAGCACAAGTGTTCCTTTCTTGCTCTTCTAGAAACAAGGGTGTGCGGCCAGCTTCTGTTGGCATTATTGAAAGGTGGTCAAACCGGCGACTTAACCTGCCAAATACGAGATGTGACTCAAATATCTTATATATTTTGGTACCATTATCTCACGTCCCTCTGGATTATTTATTTATTGTGGTCTTGTTTGATAGACAAACACAAACAATTTACGCTTCATTTTGGTCTATCCTATCCTTGTTATGCCATTGTTAGGAGTTGTTGTAGATAATAAGTTGCTTAATGGGTAAACATGAACAATTGAGCTTATTTATTCTTGATCCAAATCTTTTTATTTCAGACTAGATTAAACTCCACCAATAGCGAAAATTTTGATCATAGTGGTAATTTAATATGGTATGAATGTTGAAACTCTACGTTCAAATTTTGACATTATTATGTTGTCTCCATTTTGAATAAAATAATCTATGGCTGCAAGTGAGAAGTGTTGCAAAAGTAATTCCAAACAAATCAATCCTAGTTTAACAATGTAATCCAATGAATTGGCTATAACTAAAATCATGGTAGGTTATGGTTCTATATCCCTGAATGAAAGTAATGTTGAGGATTGTTGGGAGGGAGCCCACATTTGCTAATTTAGGAAATGATCATGGGTTTATAAGTAAGGAATACATCTCCATTGGTATGAGCCTTTTGGAGAAGCCCAAAGCAAAGCCATGAGAGTTTATGCTCAAAGTGGACAATATCATACCATTGTGGAGATCCGTGATTCCTAACATAGTATGAGAGTCATGCCCTTAATTTAGTCATGTCAATAGAATCCTCAAATGTCGAACAAAGAAATTTCTAGCTTCGAAGGTGTAGTCAAAAGTGACTCATGTGTCGAACAAAGGGTGTACTTTGTTCGAGGGCTCCAGAGAAAGGAGTCGAGGAGGCTGTTTGAGGGCTACATAGACCTTATGGGAGGCTCTATGGTGTACTTTGTTCAAGAGGAGGATTGTTGAGGATTGTTGGGAAGGAGTCCACATTGGCTAATTTAGGGAATGATCATGGGTTTATAGGTAAGGAATACATCTCCATTGGTATGAGGCCTTTTGGGGAAGCCCAAAACAAAGACACGAGAGCTTATGCTTAAAGTGGACAATATCATATATTGTAGAGATCTATGATTCCTAACAATAATGGTAATGGTTATTGATGATTCCTAACAATAATGGTAATGGTTATTGATGATGAGCTTTTTTATAGCACATCCTTAAATGCTGATATGGGATTAATCTAATGCAGTATATACTATGTTCACTTTATTCCAGGTTGAAAACATGGGTCGCATAAACTATGGACGCTACTTGTTTGACAAGAAGGTAACTCACTAATACTGCATTTTTCCCGTTCCCCTTGACATCTGAAGAAATTGATGGTTTAGTTTTATAACTGATCTTCCTTGCTTGCTTTTTTAGGGTATCTTATCATCCGTTTATTTGGACGACAATATTTTATATGGATGGAAAATGATCCCAATCCCTTTCAACAACCTCAATGAGATTCCGAGAGTCAATTCTTTCTCTCATATTGCTCGTTCTGTACACAACAAAATCACAGCAAAGAGAGGTTTAGAAGTCAAGTATGGTATGGAACAAGAAGCAAACTCTTTATCATAGTATTTCTCTCCTAATATTCCAAGTTTCATTTGATGTTATGCGTCTGCCTTGCTACATTTCCCCCCCTCATCTCAAATGTACTTCAATTCTCAAGGTTTCAAATCGTTCTGCAAGGAATGATGAGCATGCATAAGTTACGTATGTCTGTTATTCTTCTCCAGATAACATCTCGAGCGAACCAACACTTTACACCGGTTATTTCTACGTTGACAAAGTGAACCTCAGAAAAGATACATTCTTATCATTTGCTGGCTGGACTAAAGGGATTGCATTTGTGAATGACTTTAATCTCGGAAGATTTTGGCCGGTAAACTAGTGTTTTCATTCATGTTATCTCAAATCTTTGGGATGTCTTAATCAGTGTAGCAGGTTTCTTTTTCATCCCGACATTGATCAATGATGATTATGCAGGTTGTAGGGCCACAATGCAGCCTATATGTTCCTGCTCCGATTCTTCGCCTTGGGAAGAATGTCCTGGTATGAGATTTTGATCCATTGTCCATTGCCCTTTCCTTGCGACAAAACCCAACTACATTGCAATATAAAAGATAAAAGGAACTACAATATAACTCTCCAAGTATCTCAAGTCCTAAGCCACTAGCAATTCCCTATCTTTACCCTTTCTCCCTCACTCTATTTATAACGATTCATCATAACAACTTGCTTTAACTAATTACTAATATTCTCTCAATACCCTATTAATATTCTTAATTCTATCCTAAATAGCATTCCTAGCAGGGTGGCAGGGTGGGTAATGAACCACCGCGGGTTGGTGGCCTAGTGGTAGAAAAAGACCATACAAATAATGAAGGGCTTAGAACATTTAGGTTCAAGACATGGTGACCTATTTAGGATTTATTATTGCACAAGTATGAGTTACCTTAGCAACCAAAAGTAATTGTCCCGTGAAAATTGTTGAGGGTCACGTAAGTTAACCTTAGGTTATGGAGCAGACATCGCTACGGTGATTCTCTCTTATTGTTCTCTCTTATTGTACATATTTGAAGTTATCACATAAATCTCTAGCCATTTTCTCGCTCATATTCCTTGTATTCATCTAAATCGAATGTGTGTTGTTGTGTAATCTTAACGGGATAGATAATGATTTTTACAGGTGATTCTTGAGTTAGAATCTCCAAATGGCGAGGCTGTTGTACATTCTGTTGATCGGCCAGACGTCTCGTGTGGGGATTCTTCCAACTCCAATTTATCTCAGCTTTTAACCCACCAACACTCTCCTCGCCTTTGAACTTCACAGCAAAGGCATAGCCTTAAAAGCAGCCTTGAAAACTGAGGGACATATGTATTTACATGAATAATTTTTCCACCAACACTCTCCTCGCCTTTGAACTTCACAGCAAAGGCATAGCCTTGAAAGCAGCCTTGAAAACTGAGGGACATATGTATTTACATGAATAATTTTTCTACAATTGGGATTGTATCAATCTTTTTTCCCCCCTCAGAACTGGTGATTATTATTAAAGTTATTAAGGGATTTAGGAAGACTGTTCTTGAATATTATTTGAAAAAGCACAAAAATAAAAATAAATGTAAGAGTTTATTTGAGGAAGAATTTTCGTTTTTCTATAAATATTAATGTTTTAGATTTTAAATGTTAGGTGATGAAAGTTCCACACTGCTTGTTGATTTAGGGAAAGATCATGAGTTTATAATTAAAGAATACTCTCTCTATTGTCTCTTCATTGATTTAAAGTGTTTTGGAAAGTCCAAAACAAAGCGGAAAGTGGACAATATCATGTATTGGAGTTTGGTTCATCTAACGTTAGTTATTTTATTTTATTTATTTATTTATTTTTGTATAAATAAATTATGGTTTAAAGTTGGATGTAAAACTCAGAAAACGCGGAAATTTTTTGAATCAGAACCCCCGGCAGTTCTCGTCATTCAGGCTTATTTATCTGTGTGCATTTCCGATTGGCCGCTCCGTGTCCGGCGAGAATTCACCGGAGCTTCATAAGCTTCCCAAAACTCAATCAATCGAAAGCGCTAATTTCCTGGAACCTGAAATTCCGAAGAAGAAAGCAAATCGGCGATATGGATTTCTCTGGAGGAAACTGGAGCATGATCCCCAACATCCCTAATCTCAGCAACTCCTCTAATCTTTCCAATCAAGAATCCCTTTACCTTCAACAGCAACAATTTTCCCTTCAACAACAACAACAACAACAACAACAGCAGCAGCAGCAATCCTTTCACCACCAGCAACAGCAATTCCAGCCCCAAATTCAATCCCAGCAGCAATTTCAGCAGCAACAGCTTTCTCCCCAATTTCAACAGCAACAACCCTCGCCTCAAACCCAGCCCCAGCAACAACCCTCGCCCCAATTCCAGCAACAATTGCAGCCCCAACATTTTCCCCAGCAGCAGCAGCAGCAGCAACAACAACAACAGCAATATCATTTTCAGCAGCAGCAGCAGCAGCAGCAGCAACAGCAACAACAGCAACAGCAACAACAGCAATATCATCAACACCAATCTCTGGCTTCCCATTTTCATCTATTTCATGTAAATGCGTACAGAAAACCTGAATTTCTAGTTTTCTCTAATGTCTGTGTTTCATGTTTGTTGACATTTTTGGATGCTTCGTGTGCTGTAGCTAGTGGAGAAATTAGCGGATACTATTGAGAATGGAGCTAGAGATCAGCAATCGGATGCATTGGTATAAATGTTGCTTGTTTTTCAAAATTTCCTTGAAGATTGATTGTAACGTTGTTTGCACCAATAATTTGTGCTTGTAACGTTTTGGAAGGTTAATGATCTTAACAACCACTTTGAGAAGTGCCAGCAACTGTTAAACTCGATATCTGGATCACTCAGCTCAAAGGCTATGGTATGTTGGAACTCTATTTTGCTTTTAAATGTATGCGCTGGCTGAAGTCTACTCTGTTTAACTGTGTTCTTCATGTGCTTGGCATAACAAATCCATCGCTGCTAACGAGACATACCACAATTGTTTGAAGTATAAATGTTCATGTTTTGAAACTTTTGTTTTATTAGTGTCTAAATGTTGGTTTAGGGCTTTTAGTCTTTCTTTTTTTATTTTTGCATTGGTGAACTTTCTTATGTGAGTTGGGAGTGATTTTACTCCTTTTTTTCATTAGAGGGGATGGAGAAAGTGGACTAAACAATCTTGCATTTCTCAGTCAAGCAGGCAAGTTCCGTTTTGTCTACATTTCTCATCAAACAAATATGGAAAAATAATCACATTGTCAACGTTCCTAACGTAACCAAGCCCTTCCACCATAGAGTCATTGTATTGTAAGTAATCCGAACCTATCCGGAGCAAGCCTGCCATATAGGCAAGTGAAGTTGGTAAACCGTTTGATGCGCAACAATCTCCTACAGTATGTTTCCTCCTAAAAATGTCTAATTGTTAGTGATGATGGTTTCAAAGACCAAAGGTTTTAGTAGGAAGTAGTACAGTTCTTTTATGCAAAGAAACGAAATAGGATATAATCTGTAGCCCGTTAACTCTTTACAATATCATGCGCACACCATTGAACTATGGACTGCTTTTGTATAGGCTCAACAGGCCTCTAAGAAATGTCCTATTTCCCTCTTCTTGTGCGACATTTATATACATGTATGCGTGTGTGTATATATGCGCCTACACACACACACACGCATTATTGTTTTGTATGTGGTTAATGATGCGTTTTCTTGTAAAGAAAAAAAATAAAATAAAAGGATGTTTATTTTTTTGGTTGCAGACAGTCGAGGGACAGAAGAAGAAGCTGGAAGAACATGAGCAGTTGTTAAATCATCGAAGGTATGGTGGTAGCAATTTTCTGCCTGTGGTTTGCATTAATTTGTCTTTTCCATCAAGGATACTGTTAATGATTCTCTATTATAATAGGGAATTGATTGGCAAGTATAAGAACTCTGTTGAAGAACTTGTCAAGGGCGAGTCTTAGCTACTTCTCACTCATTCGTTATTAGGTAATACTTTAACTTACTTCTCACTCATTCTCACTCATTCGTTATGGAAGAGCATAATGGGTTTTACAGTCTGATGTCGATTCTGTGCTATAAATTCTTGTTCCCTTTCAATGTAAACCCACCACTAGCAAATATTGTCCGCTTTGACTCGATACGTATCGTTGTCAGCCTCACAGTTTTAAAACGCGTCTGTTAGAGAGAGGTTTCCATACCCTTATAAGGAATGCTTCATTCTCCTCTCCAACTGATGTGAGATCTCACATTTTTGGTCAAAAAGAGGGTCCAAAGTTGCATACTATTGAACGTTGATCAATTATTCGTTGTTCTCGAATTTTGAAGGCGTTACTTGTAATTGCTGCACTAATAGCTCACTCTTTGTCAAAAGATTTTCGTTTCTTAGATAACATCTCAAAGAAAAGAAAAGGTTGCATTTCTAAGAGAGCTTTTCCCTGATAAATGAATCTGGCTTTTATATGGTTGGAGATGACTTCTGGTTTTGAAAATCTGCTATGAATTCAACGCCATGTGTGCTTAGAGATTCAATTATGGATCAGTCTCATTTTTACTGATACTCGCCTTTACAATATGCTTCACCATCTCAGACGTAGCTAGCATCATTTACCTGTTTTGGAAGGAACGCCAAAAGAGCTTTCCACCGAGTCTTGCAATTCCATGAAGGGCCTTTTTCATCTGCCTCCTGCATTTCTTAACATGATGATCATTCACGATTGAATCTTCTCTGCTCTTTGCAACGCTATGGAGCACCAAACTTTCAGGACATTCAGAGTTGATATCACCATCTCTCCTAAATCAATCTGTAAGTAACATCATGTCCTTCCCCTTTTCAACTTCTTTGATTTTCATATCAGTTAAGTAAGTTGTTGAACATTCTATTCAATTTCAATAATACAATCATTTGAGTTTGAATCTGAAGAATCTCGTCTACTCTCCCTAAACCTTCTTGTATTGAGTCCCCTGCTCTTTGAACATATAAACCTTCTTCTTCAACTCAATTCAGCTGAGCCTTTCATCCTTGTTCTGATCCTCCCATCTTCAACTTGCTGCAAAGATATGGCTCCCATTGTCTCAGAGTTGGGAACAGCCATATGTAGATCATTAGAACGTAGATAAAAGTATTTATTATCCTATCTAAGGTCGATAGTTCAATTCTCTACCTCAACATTGTTCGACTGAAAAAAAAAATTATGTTGTTTTCTCTTTTCGGTATTACTTCGGTTTGTGCAGCGATAAAATAGATAATTTTGTGGATAGAATCTGAATTTAGTAGATTCAGTTTTCAGGTATATTTACGTGTCGTATTAGTTAAAAATAAGTGAAAGTGTGATTAAAAAATGGCTTAATTGCATTATTGATCTGTCTGGCATTTGGAAAAAAAGGACAACCTTACCAATTATAACTCATAACCGATTTGATTTTTTCTCTCAAATATATTTTTATTGAATTTTATAAGAAACCTATTTTACCAAAATTTGAAGGGTTTCCTACATATTTCTATGCGCTAACTATTATTACTATCCTTATTAATTTTGATTCCGACCTTTTTTTAACCATCCTCGTCATCTTGCAATCACATCGTCTAATGAGAATTACGTTATATGAGACACCTTCATGACTCATCCGTCTCAGGGCTTAGCCAACAATGTCGTTTGACGAGGGTCGAAATGTTTATACTACTAATCGTCAAGTTTGACGAGGGTCAAAATGTGTGTACTACTAAAATGTGTGTACTACTAATCGTCAATCGTTCAAAACTCATTGCCTTGTATAAAATCACCTTTCCATATCAATTTTTTAGAAATATAATAAAAGAAAATTCCCTATTCCTTCCATTTGTTCTTTCCTTTACAATGGCCTCAAAATGGCCATCTCCGAAACCCACGAGAAAAATCTTCACCATCTCTCTAATCTTCCTCCTCTGCATTTGCGCTTACTTTCTCGGCCTCCGTCAACACCCCTCCTCCGCCATCGCCCTCCTCCGCACCACCCCATGCACCACCCTCCCAAACACCACCACCACCACCACCGGCGGAAAACCCAACTACTTCCCAGCATGCGGCATGGAGTACAGCGAGTACACGCCATGCGAGGACACAAAAAGGTCGCTGAAGTTCACAAGACACCGGCTGATTTACAGAGAGAGACACTGCCCGGAGAAGGAGGAGGTATTGAAGTGCCGTATTCCTCCGCCGCCGGGGTACCGGAATCCGTTCCCATGGCCGGAGAGTAGAGATTACGCTTGGTACTTGAATGTGCCGCATAAATCCCTGACGGTGGAGAAGGCGGTGCAGAATTGGATAATATACGAAGGGGAGAGGTTCAGATTTCCCGGCGGAGGGACGATGTTCCCTAACGGAGCTGATGCGTATATTGACAAAATTGGGAAACTCATTAATCTGAAAGATGGGTCCATCAGAACCGCCATTGATACCGGCTGTGGGGTAATTAACCTCTTCATTCTTTCCCTTTCTTAACATCAAAATTTACGCATTTTTTTTCCAATTCAATTATAACTTTTCAAAATCTTTATGAACATTCTGTCCCAATGTTGACTCCGTGAAATTTTATTTTTAATTTTGAAAATATGTGTCGTAGTCAAAGGTTTATTTAACGCGTGCGTTTTTGGTTTGACCTCAACTTCCTGGGTCCAAGTGGCAGTCATGGAGTACAATTTTTCTCTGTCACCATATTTATAACAAAATAATTGTTCCCAATATTTGCCTTCAAAATATTTAAATTAATTCATACGGTAAGAACTTTTTTATTTATTTACTTTTATTTTATTTATAAAGGTATTTTTAAAATTTTTATGAGTATTTTTAAGCCTAATAATAATAATAAAGGTATTTATTTTTTAATTTTTAAAAAATAGTTGATGGGTAGTAATGAAACTATTAAAAATTTAAAAATATTTTTTTATTTTTTTAATTTAAAGGTATTATTGAAATTTTTAAAAATTTATGAATATTTTTTTAAACAAAATACTAAATTTAAGATTATTTTTATTAATCGAGTCTAAAAATGATTTACTATATTATTCAAATTTCAACTTCAACTCTTTTTTAACAATTTTTTATAAATATATTATAAAATTGGAAATATAGAAACAAATTAGAAACTTTCATGTGTGTATATATATATATAAACCAACCTTCCCACAATTGAATTGGGGCAAAGGTTTACAAAAAAAAAAGATCGTCGTTTGAATTTATCCATGATTTGTTTATCCCTTATCTCGAAAATCTTATGTCTAATATAATTTAAAGTTGTTGAACATAGTTAAGACGTATATGCTGAATTAAGGTCGGATGTTTCCCACATGGGCCTTAGTTGTTGAACATAGCTAAGAGGCATAAGGTGTTTTCTACATATATGCTTTGTGGAGTAAGGCATAGTTGAATGGAGAAGAGAAGGGTGATTTACAAAGATTTGTTGATGATGATGAAGGTGGGAAGTTGGGGAGCTTATCTTCTGTCAAGGGACATTGTAACCATGTCGTTTGCGCCAAGGGACACCCACGAAGCACAAGTTCAGTTCGCTTTGGAGCGAGGAGTTCCTGCGCTCATTGGCGTTCTCTCCTCCAAGAGACTGCCTTATCCTTCCTCTGCCTTTGACATGGCTCATTGCTCTCGCTGCCTCATTCCATGGCCACAACATGGTATTCTTTTCTATCAACATATCTTCACAACACTATTTGAACTCATTCAATTTCCTTTGATGTTGTTGTAGATGGCATCCTCCTCATCGAAGTCGATCGAGTTCTCCGCCCCGGCGGATACTGGATCCTCTCTGGCCCTCCCATCAACTGGAAGCAACACTGGAAAGGCTGGCAAAGAACAAAGGAAGATCTGAACTCTGAACAGCTCGCCATTGAAAAGTTAGCCAAAAGTCTCTGTTGGACTAAGCTTGTGGAACATGGTGATATTGCCATTTGGCAAAAGCCCATCAATCACTTGAACTGCAAAACCAACCCCAAGAACACCAACAATCCACCTTTCTGCAAGCCCCAAGATCCTGACAAAGCTTGGTATGATGTTCTTCATAGCCTTGGAGCTTCAGTTTTCTGTTCTCTTCCATTTCTTATTTGGAGCTTGAATTTGACCTTTCAGGTATACAGAAATGCAAGCTTGTTTGACGCATTTGCCACAAGTTTCAAGCAGTAAGGAAATTGCAGGAGGGAAATTGGCAAGATGGCCAGAGAGGCTAACTGCAATCCCACAAAGGGTTAGCAGGGGAACTGTAAAAGGGGTCACTGAAGAAACGTTCATTCATGATTCTGAGCTATGGAGGAAGAGGTTGTCATATTACAGAACCATCAACAATCAGTTGAGTCAGCCTGGACGGTACCGCAATTTCTTAGACATGAATGCTTTCTTGGGTGGATTTGCTGCTGCTCTGGTTGATGACCCAGTTTGGGTGATGAATGTTGTCCCTGTGGATGTCAAAGTCAATACGCTCGGAGTTATATACGATAGGGGTTTGATCGGCACGTATCAAGATTGGTAAGTACTTAAGGCTGTATAGATTCATGTTCGTGTTTTTTCATGTTTTGGTATGCGCATCGAGCGAGACATAAGAGAGAGGCTTTCTCATTTAGCTACATTATAGTTGTTACAAAGAAATTGATATGTGACCGAACCTAAAAAAGCTCGTTGTATCCGAGAACTTACATTATGTCCTGTGGATGCATTGCAGGTGTGAGGCAATGTCTACATATCCAAGAACTTACGACTTCATTCATGCAGATTCAGTTTTTAGCCTCTATGAGAATAGGTATTCTCTTCTTCCATAGACATGGAATTGTGAAGTCTTGTTCATGAAACTTTTTGAATAGGTTCTTTTGCGAGATTCCACATTGATCGAAGAGGAACGAGTGCCAGCGAGGACGCTCGTTGACCCCAAAGGGGATGGATTGTGAGATTCCACATCGATTGGAGAGAGGAACGAGTGTCAGTGAGGACGCTGGGACCTAAAGGGGGTGGATTGTGAGATCCTACATCGGTTGGGGAGGAGAACGAAACATCCTTTATAAGGGTGTGGAAACCTCTCTCTAGTAGATGCGTTTTAAAAACCTTGAGGGAAAACCTGAAAGGGAAAGGAGAGAGGAACGAAACATTCTCTATAACAGTGTTAAAACCTCTCCCTAGCAGATGCATTTTAAAAACCTTGAGAAAAAATCCAAAAGGGAAAGGAGAGATGAACGAACCATTCTTTATAAGGGTGTTGAAATCTCGCCCTAACAGACGCGTTTTATAAACCTTGAGGGAAAACCTGAAAGGGAAAGCCCAAAGAGGACATCATCTGCTAGCTGTGGACGACTTGGACTTGGACTGTTACATCTTTAGAAAACAAGTTTACGTTGATTTCCAAACGCATCGAGTTTATGTTGATTTCCAAGCGCATCTAAACGATGCAAAACTGATGTTTTGCTGAAACTGCATTGCAGATGTGAAAGGGAAGATATTCTACTCGAGATCGACAGAATTCTGAGACCAGAAGGAAGCGTAATCTTCCGAGAAAACATCGATATATTGACGAAAATCAAGACGATAACGGATAGGTTGAACTGGAGCAGTCAAATTGTGCATTCTGAAGATGGATCTTATCATATGGAGAAGCTTCTATTTGCAGTAAAAAACTATTGGACAGCATCTCCTGAGCATTCTAATCAACAAGGCTCTAAACCAACTTAACCACTCAATCACATCCATGTTCTTTTTAGTGCTTGATTTACCATCATTTATTACCAAGAACAGTGAATTACATTCAATGAACTGATATGATCAATGGGAATGAATCATAATTTCAATCTTGATTTTGGTTAATTTTGGGTACCCAACACAAAAGCTATGAACTCAGAATTGGCATGTAGGTGATTCATGCAAACCTCAATCTTTCAACACCTATAAATAACACCCAAAACCCTGAAGAAATCATCAAACAAACAGATTCAGAAGAAAAAAAATGGCAGGAATCAAGTCTCATGGGGTGCAGCAAGTTATATTGCTCTTGTTGGTGACTGTTCTGCTGTGGCAATCACAGGCACAGGCGCAAAGCTGCTCAACTCAGCTCAGCAACCTTAATGGGTGTGCACCTTTTGTGCTTCCTGGTGCCAGTAACCCAAGCCCAGAGTGCTGTGCAGCGCTTGGAGCTGTGCAGCAGGATTGCCTGTGCAGCACCCTCAGAATTTCCTCCACTCTGCCTTCGCTTTGCCGCCTTCCACCTCTCTCTTGTGGTCAGTTCTCCTCGTTTTTCTAACCATTTTTACTTGAGAATGGACTGTAATGAATGAAGGGGTTTTCTTTGATTTGTGCTTCGTTTCAGGTACAAACTAGAGGAGATGGCTGATGGGTATTACAAGAAATCAATAATGCTCCACTTATATCATTCCTTTCTCTTTTCTTTACTGTTCTTGGCGTCCTTTGATCTAAAGTCAATGTTCTTAGAAGTCTGGTTTCGTTGAATAAAATGGAAGCTTTTTTCTTTTTCTTCTCTCTACGATTACATTACAATAACTACAGAAAGTTAAGAAACTGCCTAATCCTGCACTAATTATCATAATTTTAACTTAATCAGAGAAAGAGAGATGGTTTAAGCTGTTGGTGAATGAGTTTAAACCGTTCAAAAAATGGGGTTCGGTGAATCACACTCTTTTTCACCTAATATCAACCTCATATCAAGAATGCGTGAGATCCCACCTCTGTTGGAGAGAGAACGAAGCATTCTTTAAGGGGTGGAAACCTCTTCGAGGGTGAGATCTTGCATTGGTTAGAGAGGAGAACGAAACATTTCTTGTATAGGTGTGAAAATCGATCGCTACTAGACTCGTTTTAAAACTTTGAAAGAATTGTCGAGAGGGAAATTCAAGGAGGACAATATCGGCTGGCGTTAGGCTCAAAAGGAAAAATCTAAAGATGACACTATCCGCCTGAAATAGAAATCCCGGGTGGGTGAGCTCAAAAGGAAAAACTATTACTATTATTTACCCATTTTTACAAAAGTTAACACCAAACTAAGTATAGGATTAATTTAAGATTTAATTGAGATTAAATTCAAAGATTTAGATTAAAAAAAAAACCCCCACCTGAGAAAAAAATGATTTTTTAAGGAAGATTATTTAGTGATGAAATGCCAAGCCCGTCGCCGCTCTCAACGATGTCCCAAACTTTTACCCGCCGCCCGCGCAAACACGGTAAGGCAGCAAGCAGACATGCTTACTATGATGGGCAGTCAAGCTTCAATACTCAGTACAGCTAAAGCACAACGAACAGGGGAGAAGAGCGAGGATGCATAACAAATTCCCCTTCAACTCTGAGTTTTCAGAGTACGCTCAATCTCCTCTCCTTTGCCCTCCAATTCATGTTCCTTCATGAACCCATACAATGAAATTAATTTCAGAGCTCTTCTTACATGGAGGATGTTTTTTCCCTTTTCTTTTTTGGCGAGGGGGGCCTATGGAATTCCCCCTCTTGCTGGAAATTCGTTGCTAGTTTCTTGAATGAGCAAATTGATTGTATTCTATTATGTGGACCATGAACTGTTATTTCCTTAATTCTTTACGGAGTTTTCTTTGCTCTCCTCTTAAACCCTTTGCTACTATTACCCATTTCTTCACTTCTACCAAATTTATTAACACATCGGTTAAGTGTATAAGCGACCTACGAACCAATGATGTTTCTGGGTTTATTCAAAATGGGAGTGACAACACTTCATCCATTTCCTATTCCAAGCTTTTATTAGAGTTTACTGCTTCCAAGGATGTAAAATCAGGCATGGAAATCCATGCTCGTATGATCAGGTTAGGATTATGTAGAGATACAGGGGTAAGAAACAAATTGATAAACTTGTACTCGAAATGTCAGTGTTTTCCAGCTGCTCGAAAACTTGTTATGGACGGTACCGAGCCAGATTTAGTTTCTTGGTCTGCTTTGATATCTGGGTATGCTCAGAATGGTCGTGGAGAAGAAGCCCTTTTGACCTTTTATGAAATGCATTTGTTGGGAATGAAGGGCAATGAGTTCACTTTCCCTAGTGTTTTAAAAGCCTGTTCTTTAACGAGGAACTTGGAACTGGGGAAGCAGATTCATGGGATTGCTTTAGTGACAGGTTTGGAATCTGATGTGTTTGTTGCCAATACTTTGGTTGTTATGTATGCTAAATGTGGGGAGTTTAGTGATTCGAAGAAGCTGTTCGAGGAAATTCCAGAACGAAATGTCGTATCTTGGAATGCTTTGTTTTCTTGTTATGTGCAGATTGATTTCTTTTCAGAAGCGATTAATTTGTTTCGAGAAATGGTTTCTACTGGACTTACTCCAAATGAATTTAGTCTCTCCACTGTATTAAACGCTTGTGCTGGTTTGGAGCACATTGATTCCGGAATGGAAATTCATGGATACTTGATAAAGCTTGGGTATGATTCTGATCCCTTTTCTGCTAATGCACTTCTTGACATGTATGCTAAAGCTGGATGTCCTGAATCTGCAATAGCCGTGTTTTATGAAATCCCGAAACCTGATATCGTTTCATGGAATGCTGTAATTGCTGGCTGTGTTCTTCATGAGTATAATGATTTAGCTCTTAAATTGTTTGGGATGATGGGAAGCTTTAGAGTGAGTCCTAACATGTTTACCCTATCAAGTGCTCTTAAAGCTTGTGCTGGGTTAGGGCTTATCAAAATAGGTAGACAATTGCACTCGGCCTTGATGATGATGAATATGGATTCAGATTCATTTGTGGGTGTTGGATTGATAGATATGTATTCGAAATGTGGTTTACTGCAAGATGCACGGAAGGTGTTTGATTTAATTCCTAAAAGGGACTCGATCGCATGGAATTCTATTATTTCCAGTTACTCCAATTGTGGGTATGATATGGAAGCTATATCCCTCTTTACAATGATGTATAAAGAAGGTTTAGAATTCAACCAGACCACATTGTCAACAATCCTCAAATCTTCAGCTGGCTCGCAGGCCATTGCGTTTTGCAAACAAGTTCATGCGATATCGATCAAATCAGGTTACCAATATGATGGTTACGTAGCAAATAGCCTGCTTGATTCTTATGGAAAAGGCTGTCGATTAGAAGAGGCAGAAAAAGTTTTTGAAGAGTGTCCTGCTGAAGATTTGGTGGCGTATACGTCAATGATTACTGCTTACTCCCAATATGGCTTGGGAGAAGAGGCTCTAAAAATGTACTTGCGTATGCAAGAACGATGTTTGAAGCCCGATGCGTTCATCTTCAGTTCTCTTTTTAACGCATGTGCGAATTTATCAGCATACGAGCAAGGAAAACAAATCCATGTCCATGTCCTGAAATGTGGGTTGCTCTCAGACGTTTTTGCTGGAAATTCACTTGTTAATATGTATGCAAAATGTGGAAGCATAGACGATGCGACGAGCATTTTCTCTGAGATACCATGGAGGGGAATTGTATCTTGGTCAGCGATGATCGGTGGACTTGCTCAACACGGCCACGGGAAAAAAGCCCTCCAACTGTTCTATCAGATGCTTAAAGATGGCATTCCTCCAAATCACATAACCTTGGTCAGTGTCCTTTCTGCATGCAATCATGGTGGTTTGGTAACCGAGGCTCGTAGATTTTTCGGATTAATGGAGGAACTGTTTGGAATTATACCAACGCAAGAGCACTACGCTTGCATGGTTGATATCCTGGGTCGAGTTGGAAGATTGGACGAGGCAATGGAGCTTGTGAAAGAGATGCCATTTCAAGGCAATGCTGCTGTTTGGGGGGCACTGCTAGGTGCTGCAAGAATTCATAAGAACATCGAGCTTGGCCGACAGGCAGCCGAGATGCTCCTAACCCTTGAGCCCGAAAAATCTGGAACTCATGTACTCCTAGCCAACATCTATGCATCCACAGGAATGTGGGATAATGTTGCAAAGATAAGAAAAATGATGAAAGACAGCTTAGTGAAGAAGGAACCAGGAATGAGTTGGATTGAGGTGAAAGATAAGGTGTACACCTTTATTGTTGGAGATAGAAACCATCCTAGAAGTATCGAAATATATGCAAAGGTTGACGAGTTACGGGAGCTTCTGAGTAAAGCGGGGTATTTTCCGATGATCGAGACCGATCTGCATGACGTCGAACAAACTGAAAAAGAAGAACATCTATGGCAACACAGCGAGAAACTGGCTGTGGCTTTCGGGTTGATTGCAACTCCGCCAGGGGCTCCCATCAGAGTTAAGAAGAATCTGAGAGTATGTATTGATTGTCATACTGCATTCAAATTCATAAGCAAACTCGTTGCGCGGGAGATTATTGTAAGAGACTTAAACAGATTCCACCATTTCAGGGATGGCTCTTGCTCCTGTGCTGATTATTGGTAAATTTTTTAAGTTTTGATTCTTATTTAGACAACAACAAGAAGTATACTAAAGATCTAATAATATGATAACAAAAGTTGTTGATTCTTCTGTGATGGGTATCACTTGCTTTGAGTTGGTCAGTATCGGTAGGTGCCCTTCAGGAGGAACTGATACTCCATAAAGCCCTCTAATATGTCCTCTTCTAAACCGTATCTATCTGCAGGTGTCTTTGAGCATCAAGCCTATTCCATTTCTTATTTTTTTCGTAGGATTACATGTTAATTCAAGGAAAAAGATCATTACATTGCTTCCATTGCCATATTTGGTTTGTGATGTATCATTTGTACAACTAGATTTCCTTAACAAGAACTAATCATAAATCTGGAAAATTTGGCAACTTGGCTGACCAACTTTTACAATGATTTGTGGTTCATGTTCAGAGATGTTCATTTTAGTTGCCGGTGTTGAGGATTGTTAGGAGGAAGTCCCACGTTGGGTAGAGAATGATCATGGGTTTATATATAAGAAATACATCTCCATTGGTACAAGGCCTGTTAGGGAAACAAGCTTATGCTTAAAGTACACAATATCATACTATTGTAGAGATTCGTTGTTCCTAACATGGTATCAGAGTCATGCTCTTAACTTAGCCATGTCAATAGAATTTTCAAATGTCGAACAATGAAGTTGTGAGCCTAGAAGGTGTAGTTAAAAGTGACTCGAGTGTCGAACAAATAGTGTACTTTGTTTGAAGACTCTAGAGAAGGAGTCGAGCCTCGATTAAGGGGAGGATGTTCGAGGGCTCATTAGGCTTCAAGGGAGGTTCTATAGTATATTTTGTTCGAGGGGAGAATGTTGGAGAGAGTCCCACGTTGGTTAATTAAGTAAGGGGAGGGGATTCCCTGTTCAGACTGAGAATGGGAAGGGAGTGAAACATTTTTTTCCGTTAGATAAATAGGGTCCAGGATAAGATTATATTCACTATCCCCGTCCCCGCCCAATTTCTCATTCCACCCCGCCCAATACAAATATATATTTTACTATATATATATATATATATAATTTTGACATTTTAATTGTAATATTTATAGAATAAAGACTATGAAATAGATTTTTTAATGGTCAGAAGACTATTGTAATATAACCATTTTTTTAAAAAAAATAATAAATATGAAAAAATTACCAATGAGGAATCTAATCTCAGTAGAGGAGTTTTCTAAAATAGATGGAGAAATTTCCTATCGGGTTCCGCCTATGAACATCTCTACTCATGTCCCCTAAAATAAAGGGCGGAAAAAAATATTTTAAATAATTATTTAAAAAAAAACTATTTCAATAGTTTAAATGATTAAGTTGATTAGAAAATATTAAATGATTTCAACCCAACATGGAAAAATAATAATTCCAAATTTCTTTTAAAAAAGTGTTTATTTTTTGTAGTGAAAGGTTACAAAATTTGTTAAACCACAATCATGGTAAGTAATGAAAATCATGTGTACTAAAAAAAAAAGTTAAAATAGCCTCCTTTATGACGTTTTGCTATGTCAATGCCTCATTGGTCCAGATAGTCAATCCCACCACCTCACCATAGTTTTGCGTGCACCTGATTTTTACCCCTTAATAAGACAGAAGATTTGTGTGATCCACATCCGTCTGTCCTCATATTTTTCTTTTAAATAAAAAATTTGTCATAAACCCTAAACCCTAACTTAACATTAAACTATATGCTAAAGAAATTAGGGTTTCTAATACTTCCATAAATTTTTAATCTTTTCAGGCTACAAGGGTATTTTTTAATGAATATTTTATGGGTCGTTTTCTCTTCCACAGATCCCATCGTGAGAATCTGAAAGTTCCATTAATTTCTTGGCTCTATTTGTAAGAACCCTCTTTTGCTCTTTTTGCCCTGCCTTTCACTGTCTCTCACGTTTAAATAACCTTAAAGGTGTCACTTTTTACATTTGTTCTTTTATTTTTCTTCCATTCTTACTTGTTTATGATAGAGCAACAAGGTCAATGGCTCACATTTATTTTCTTGGTTTTTGAGATTCATGATGTAAAATGGATGGTGTAATGTGAATTCGAGTTCATATACCAAAACAAGACCTTTCAACTGCTTCCTTTGTCTTCTTCTTAGCTTCTTTCTGTTCTTCTCTTCTCTGGGTCTCTCTCAGTTATGACAAATATGGGGTCAAGCATTTTGAATACTAGGGTTATGTTTCATACCCTTCTTTAGTTTTTTTTTTTTTTTTTTTTTTTTTTTTTTTTTTTTTTTTTTTTTTTTTTTTTTTTTTTTTT